GGGTTATTACACACAAGTCTTAATGCGTAGGCGGACAGCTCCTTTGTGCAGCACTTACTTTTTCCATTCGCGTGAAAAGAGCCGTTCTATTGGTCTCATGAGGTGTGAGACAAATGTTAGTTGTTGAATCATTGGCACCTGCGCATCATCCGAACTGCTTCCTGGGCAATGCCGGTCACTTGCTCCTCCGTCTTCCCTGTTGTTCGCATTGCAGAGTCTGGAAATCGAAGCTGAGAGCCCCTCTGAGTTGGGCGTTGTCATCAGCAGTAGCACCAGCAGCAGCACCGACACCAGTAGAGAACTACAGGTGACATGGCAGCAGCCTATGCGCTTTCTCATTCGTATGCGTCCATCCGAGGAGGCCAAGAAAAGCGCCGTGCATCCACTGCACTGTTTGCAAAAGGAGGGAGTCTTGCGCTTTCTTATTAGGAGAGGAGATGACGCATGGCCGACCTTCACAGCTCAATTTCTCCTCAGCTCTCTGACATGTTCGCCTCTGCACAACTCTCCTGANCATGGCCGACCTTCACAGCTCAATTTCTCCTCAGCTCTCTGACATGTTCGCCTCTGCACAACTCTCCTGACGGATGCTGCTGCTGTTGTTGCTGCAATGCTGATGATCCTGAGGCTGCCCATGATGACCACATACTTGCTGTTGCGCATGCTTCTTCTATCACTTCCTTTGCCCATCCAGCAACTTGTTGGACTGCTGTTTTACACTGAGGGTGTTTCTGAACTCGCAACTGTAATGGGTGCCTGACTAACCCAGATGGAAGTGCGCGGTGCTGGTCCGATTACGGTTGCGCGGTGTTCCCCTTTTTGTCTTCAGACGGGGTTTTCAGCATCCATCACGTAAATCTGTTTTCCAAAGAAGAAAACGCAACAGAATACAGCATTGCATGCGGATACCTCTCCTTCTCAATCGCAGCAGAACTAGTAAAACCCATGGCTGCCGCGCTGTCGGTGGCGCACGCAGATCTTTCCGGGAACACTGCGACACCTGCCGGAGACAAGAAGGCACAAAGGCGAGCTGAGGCCTCGAGGGCGGTAAGCCGAGAGCTGGCCCCTTCACAGCTATAGTTGGCAGATTAGGAACCAAATGTGTGAGCAGCGCAGCACCTCGTGATGCATATTGCGTTGGAATGGGAGCAGGCTTGACACAGACAAACTAGGGCTGGCTTTGGGTGTGGTCTCTGCAGCATGGTCAGGACCTTGACGGATCTTTAAAATCAACGAAAAACGAGAACGCTGCGCTGCAGCAACAAAACAAACTGCTGCAAGCACAGGTTCAGGAGCAGCAGCAAGCTATACTGCAGCAACAGCAGCATATCCAGGCCCTTCAAGCTCACATGTTAGTCTGTCAGTTTCCCGCTGCAAGCGAGATGCTTTGAGTCTCTATCATGCGGACTCCAAATGAGAAAGTTAACCGCAAGCTAAGCGCATTCTTGTTTCCTTTTTTCTTTACTGTGAGGCAGGCACCAACTGACGGCACAGCTCAGTGAAGCAACTCAGCGACTCGCGTGAGAGCCTACAAGGCCCCTTATCAGCCTGCAAGCAGTGAAAGCCTGGAAACCTTAAATTAGCAGTGTTCAATTCGAATTAACCTAAACGAACTATCAGCTGGGACTAGATGCCTCCGGAACTGTAGGACAAGGTATTTGCTGTATCGCGGGAAAACAGCACATGCTTGTGTTTCTGCCAAATTTCGTTGTGCTTTTCCAGCGCCACTGAAGTGCAGCAGCACCAACAGCAGCAGGCGCTGCAACAGATGCAGCAACAACGAGATGCAGAGTCCCGTGCTTCCGCGGCCGAGATAGCGAGGCTGCAGCAGCAAGTTCTGCAGCTAGAGGAATCACGTAGGAGCGCCGAAGAAGAACAAAAGCTCCACCGCAAACAAATTCGCAACTATCGCATGGAGGTGGAACAGCATGAGCGTGAGCGGCAGCGACTATTAGAGGAGCAGAAAGACTCGGAAAAGAAAGCCATGGAGCAGGAAAAGACCATCGCCGAGCTCACAACACTCCTAAGCAACGCGCGAAGCCGTATAAGGGACGAGCGACAGCGGAGTGAGGGACTAGTGGGCAAGCTGGAAGGTGAGACGCCATGCAGTTGACGACATGTTTCACACCTCTGCAAAAATGCATCAGTATTCTTCGACTCAATTGTCTGGTTTTGAATCCCTTTGCCTCGTTCACGCCTAGATATGTTTCTTCTTGCACCTATCCACTGCTTTTCTTAGACGTGATTAATTGGACTCTCAGATCATTTCCTCTCTGCGGGTACCGCTTGTGTCCTGTTTGGTCTTCTGCTGCCTTTTCCTTCAGCTGCGAGCGAGGTCGAGTCCTCCCTAAAGGCAGAATTACAAGCGTCGCAGTAGGGCTATAATACGCCTCAGTTGGGCGTTTCCGTGGTTGCGCTTTCCCCTGACGTTATCTTCCGCTGACACTCCCATTACCTTTCCACATAGATATGCGGCCATAAAGTTTAAGTTCATATTTATCGGTGCACAAAATGTCACGTCGGCTGTTTCTGCAGAAAAGCGGCAGAAGAGGGCAAGCGGCAGCTGCTGAGCTTGACATGGGGCTTGGTGAGTACTGCATCAATCCGTTCGCAGATGTTTCCCTTCCCTTACTTTGCACTCACAGATTTCTATAGGTGACAGTCTGACAGGGCTCGTTCTATGGTTGAGTGGGTATTTGAAGAAGCGTAGTCTTTGCACTATTTGCTTAGTCACCCGTTAAGCATCTTTGCATAACTAGTTGCACAGGAACAAATGGCTATACACGTAAATGTACCACCCAGAGCGAATGCAGACGTGACACAAAACTATCAGCGCACACACAAGTACGCATACATGCATATCCGTAAATCCATGAAAAAGTGTATGCATGTATCTGTCCATGCACACACATGGAGAAACGTATACCAGAATAGTTAAAAGTACCCGTAGATAGGTGCAAGTACAGCTGCACTGATGTTGCAGCTTACCTTGGAGTAACATGAGTGCATCTGCACGTCGGGTGCTTGGTGCATCTATATTTCCGTGCTGAGAAATCCCTATGTATGCAAATGCACTGGAGAGAAGTGTATCCCTATGCATGTAAATGCACTGGANTGCTGAGAAATCCCTATGTATGCAAATGCACTGGAGAGAAGTGTATCCCTATGCATGTAAATGCACTGGAGAAGTGTCTGCACAGCGTATAACAGTCATTAAGTGAATATTAACTATTTGGCCACTTAGCGAACTCTTCGGTTTTCTGACGAATGGGATTGGCTTGCCATTTAAGATGCGCCTGTCTGTGTTGTTGCTTCTATTACAAGGAGGCGCCACCAGTCTTCACTGGATTCGCCGACTCGGCGCCGAACTGTAATAAGCAGCCTGAAAAAGAATCGCGGCGGGGGCAGCAACAGAGAAAGGGAGAAGATCGCGGTGAAGCGGATGATAAAACTCAGAAAAGAAGTTCATACTCAGACAAACACTGGGTAGACAAGCCACTGCAATCTTTCTCAGGAGCGCGCGCTGGCCCAATTTTGTCTGCAGATGCACAACTACGAAGTATGGATCACCTAGCAATGCTGAAATATATGTTTGCTTCTCATTGTACCTTTTACGAACACACGTAAAAGTTGATAATATGTAGAATTGTTATGTAAGTGCCTTCAGGATGGAATGATGCTCGGATTTTGCGTCGCCTCCTTCCGCCTATCCAGCCAACTGGAGCGATGTGGGAGAGTGCTCTAAGACTGCCAATGCAAGAAGGTTATTCTCACATCTTGCTGCAGAATGCTGGTTCCCCTGGACAACAGTGGGGAGGTATCCTTCTTGAGAGCGCAGATTTAAGAGTGAGCCCATTCGTAATCGTTTATAGTGATTTTGCCTCGGAAGCGTTCGACATCTTAGGGGCCATACCTAATTCGCTGCAGATGAGTTGACTAGCATTTCCTCTTAAAACCGGTACTGCAGCGAACCTTAAGTGAGAGCATTGAAGGTTTCTAGGGGATGGGGTCTTCCTGTCGTGGCGTTCATACTCCATTTCTGTACACATCTCCAATCTCCGCCGGGCTTCTCATCTGTCTCGTCTGTCACTGGACCGTTAATGCTTTAGGTAGAATGGCGCTGCTCGATTCATTCGGGACTAGGAGAACGAAGTGGCTACGTACCGAAATTTCTTTCGGGCAGTATTGCCGCAACTGCTTCCTTCTTTGCCAACATTTACTTCAATGTATCCCCTTGTCCCGATGTACACGTTGTCCTCGAAAAAGAAGTGCTGGAGGGGGGTGAGCTTTTGCTGCCTTGCTTTTTTCATCGCATCCCTTCATCTAATCTGTCTTCGTTAGCTGGACAGTGTGATTAAAGAGATGCTGCTACTAACGCATAGTGTCTAATCAACTGTGGGTAGCCTATGGGCTACAAGCAAAGCGGTCAGAAGCCTTTCAGCTAGAGTGTTTGTGCACAGCCGTCCTTCATCATTCCTCGGGTATGGGTTTTGATGCAGGACGCGTCTTGGTGAATGTAAACCCAAACCAAGGAGCGCGGCGTGTCAGTGTCACAGGGGTATTTGAGGTGTCTTGTCCCTCGCGCGACACTCCTATCCTTCTCATCGGCGCTCTGTGAGTCCTGNAGGGGTATTTGAGGTGTCTTGTCCCTCGCGCGACACTCCTATCCTTCTCATCGGCGCTCTGTGAGTCCTGTGCACTATCCTCGCATTAACAGCTCATGTATAGACTTGCAGACGACACTGTAGAGAATGAATCGTCCACGACTTCTGCTCACGTGTTCGAATCCAGTTCAGGCCTGTACTCGAAAGTGTCCTGGCTAGGAGGCAACCCTAGAACAAATTCAATCACGTCCCTCCGTATTCACACGACAACAATTAGCAATTGCATGCGTTTTCAATGTGCTGATCCGTCAGAACGACCGACTCGCAGAAACGGTCTCTGAGACTGAAACTGCCGCTACCCTCTGCAGCGTTCTGTGTGCCTTTCCCCCTATCGAGGGAAGCATTTGCTACTAAGTGGCGGTCTCTAGAGATGCAGGAGGATGCAGTGGGTTTATGATGGTTACGTTCCCGCAGTCACATAGACTTT